CAAGAGATGTATAAATGACACTTTCATTTCAGAGGTGGGAGCATTTGATTGTATTTTAAATCTACAAGCACGCCTTTTGAGGCACACATCAAAACCTCCTGCAAATTTCATGTAAGCTATTTCCTGAGAACTGCAATCAGACTAGCTCGGTTTTTCTTGACAATTCATTGTGTCTGCCAGTAGAGAAGCTTCAGAAAGACAATAAATTGCTTTTATATGGACTGTGTTTTATTCAAGTACTAAATGGAAACAAAGTCTATAATGAAATCCAATCATCTGCGTAGGTAAATTTCTTCCCTCCAGCCATTTTGCCTAACAAAGCAAACCAAAAGCCACTGGACCTGTTCCTTGACAGAAACTAAACTCCACAAGAAACTAAATGTCAAATGATCATTTGACAATGACAATTTCAAGACTTTCAGAAATAAAAATGACAAAATTCTACAAGTCTACTGTTAGACATGGTTCATGGATAAATTCAACTAGTGAGAAGTATAGGGAAGTATAGGGAAGTGAGGGTTTTTCCCCATTAATTCCAAATGCTGTCCGTACCTGCAACATAATCTCCGATCCCAACAGTCGTCAGTGTGATCACCACGAAATAGATTGCCTCCAGCCCGGTCCATCCTTCAATATGCTTGAAGATGATGGCTGGTATAGTGACGAAGAGGATGCAGCCAGCCAAGATGAAGAGCAATGTAGAGGCCACTCGAATCTTGGTCTGGCTTACTTGATTGTGTTTGCGCTGGGGGGGGGGGCAAACAGACAAAAAGCAATATCAACATGAAAGATGAAGCGACATCGTACAAGAGCCATTCTTAGTCACGCAAACAGCATGACTTCATTGCCAGCAGCGGCTACATGTGGCACAAGAAGACCTTTCGTGACTTTGTGAAGGTGGCATGTGTTCATTAGCTCTCTGATGGGCCTAATGATGATCTGAATGAGACTGATTAGCTCTAATGAGGTGTGATCTCAACCCGTACTGCAGATGCCGCTGTCTCAGCATGCTGGAGCCTGCTGCTATCAGGAGCCACAGTTCTGTGTTTATTACCTCTGCTGTGCAGGGTCTGACTAAACTACTACAAACAAGTGCTGTGATAGTCCTGACTAATACCTCCCAGGAAGTCATGAAAAGAAGTGACCTTGCATACTCTAATGTCATAAACCTATCACTTGAAAGGCTAATTGCCATGGTAAACATTTAGCATATTAGCATATTAGAACATTTAGCATTAAAATACATTGTTAGTTTCATTTGTTATAATAAATACCATATAGTTTGATTTTGTTATCTATGAAAGCCCTAAGATGCATTGTATTAAAATGTATTGTTAAGATCACTACTTATTAGGTTATTTCAAAATGCAAAAGCATTTTTTTAGGATCATAACATTGTTCTTGACATCTTGGTCCTATTCAGAAGATGATTAATTACTTAAATGTTTAAATAAATATAGAATTGTATAAATATAACATTATAAATGTGAAAAAATTCAATCAAGAAGACAAATCAATAAACAAAGTTTCCATTTACTACTTGAATTAATTAAAGAGAAAGTATATGATTTGGAGTCTGTTCTTTTGCACCATCAAGAATAATGACTGTGTCTTAATGTAAGCTCACAGAACATTACGTAATGTCTCTGTGATGTTGTTTTTTTGTAGTTGTTGTTTTTTTACCTTGTGGTGAAAAAGAATATCATGCATTCATGCAATAATTTAAAATACATCTTAAAAAAAAAAAAAAAAAACTAGAAAATGTGTTGTGCAAATTAAGAATATGGACTGAACAGAAGCACGCTAAAGACTAAATAGATTTTAAAACTCGAAGCATCATACACTTCCTGAAATAGTAACAAAGTTTGTTTCAGAGAAAAACACTACCAGACTTTCAAGTCATTCTGAACACAAAATACTCAACCAGAAATATGAGCCTCGTTGCTAGATGCAGCATGAAAAATGAAAACAATACAGTATGTGCTCTAAAATCAGCTCAAAATATCAAACATGTTTGATATCCTCAAACTGGATGGAAACCGAGTCTGAAGCTAAAAATATCGAAGTCTGTGCCCACCGTACACTATGTAATTTGTGTACGTCTGTCAACTCGGACTGCACGGACTGGCTCTAAATTTCTGCAACTAACGTAACATGTCCAGACTGCAAATCGGGGCAAAAATGTCATGTAGTGTATTACAGCCTTTACAAGGGTACCTTACCATAGAGCCTATTAAACAGATTGTGCATCTAAACCTGTCACTTGAAATGCTAATCGCCATGGACCATGGTAAACATTTAGCATATTAGAACATTTAGCATTAAAATACATTGTTAGTTTAATTTGTTAAAATAAATACCATATAGTTTGATTTTGTAAACTCAATGTAGTGTATTACAGCCTTTACAAGGGTTCCGTACCATAGAGCCTATTAAACAGATTGTGCATCTATCCCTCATAGCCTTGTTTTCATTACCCTAGTTTTGTGCTCCACAGTTCACTTA